TACGTTCTCGTGAGTGATAACACATACAAGAAAGCGATACTGTTTCGATATTAACAGCACACAACTGCCAAATTCAGAATTGCCACAGCATCTGCCTTAAAACTCTATTAAACGGAAAGCACTTCAATAATTCTGACTTCTTTAGAAATTTTAGAATAGTCCTAAAAAACACAGCAGCACAAAGAGCTTCAAGAAGGGCGCTAAGAAACGATTACGATACAACAATGTACCTATATTTTTTATCCTATTTTCTATATGAGTACCTTCCACCCTTCGGCCGCTACCCAATACCAATTGTATAGGTCGCCGTGGGTTATCAAATTATTAGTTTATTTCCGATGAAAGCGTATATAAATCATGTTCACATCACAAATACTAAATATATTGCATTCTAGCGAATCAGTTCAGAAATGCAAAATTTTCGCGTAGTTTCAATACCTTTTCAAAGTTCATTTAAAGGTAGGTAGGTGTAAATGTTGAAAACGGAAATTGCATGTGCCGAGAGCAATTTGGCAAAAATGCATATTTCTGAACGCGAATAATTCGCACGAAACATAGAAAGAAATAAATTTAATCAGACTCTTATTGGATACTTTTTACGGTCAATTTAATTTGATGCGCTTTGAAAAACAAAATGAAAGAACCGACGCGTATACTCGTTACTGTTTGTGGTTCAGTGGTTATTAATCGCCATTTTCTAAATCTACACTGTCAAATTTAAGCTATATATTTCTCTTTATAACTATTGCTTTACTACAGGATCTCGAACGAGTGTTATTTCTCGGCACATGTACATGTGGAAATGAGGAAACTGTTCACTTTGGGAAAATAAGTTTGTTATTTCCGTTGGCCTAAAAGAATTGTTTGCTGAGACGGGGGAAAATTTAATTAATTGCCGTTACTTTAAAATGCAGACATGATGATTAAATTCTGACCTGTTCACTCTTATGAAATATTACTACTTGCCACAAGATATTGCAGCAATAACAAACTTAGACTTTTTTCCTATGACGGCCCAAAACCGAATGCCTCTAATTCTATCGCCTGGATTCATTTCTACTCGTGTTGTCGAGTTATTGGCACGCCCCAAACAATGGCGCTAATTATTTAACGCAGAAATATTTAATCATGGACGAATCATAGATGCTTACCCCTACTTAGTCAAAAGCGCCCGAAGTTCATTTTCAAATACACACGGTCATTTAATATTGCAAATTCGGCGCTTCGCATGGTATCATTGTGCATAATACTGTCTGGGATAATTTGGTCACGTAAACCCCATTAAAATAGTATTATCGCTCTGACAGACCGGTTAAGCCATTAAGCGGTCAACGCACACCAGTTACCTATAAAAATACAACTCGCCAATTCTATTAATAACGCCACCCTTAAAAATCTCGAAAAATATCTTTTATACTGTTTGGTGGTATTGTAATATCATCCACTTCAACCTCACAACTGCTTCGGAACCGTAACGTGCACGTTCACCACGTTAGACTATGAACTTTGGTATATAACTTACTAAATGATCAACAAAGAGATCGATAAGAGCACGTTTTCTTCAACTTTGATTAAAATACGAGGGCGCGATTTTTTACCCCTCGATTTTTTCCGTGCCCTTTTGCCGGAATGAACATTGTGATCATTAGATAATGAATACCGAACGAAGCATTTCAGTATTACGGATTCAATCCGAATCTCAATCTCTACAGAGGCAGATGAATAAGGGAACTCGCATTTAATTTTCGACGATATATTCGGAAGCATTTGGATTATTTATATATCGAATTGGCATTTATTGATAAAGATATTATAAGAAAAGTTATGGCAACTTATTTTCGTATGTAAAGCGTATGCAAAGTGGGAAAAAATTGGATAACTTTATGCAGAATCCCTGTTTGAAAATGCAAATCAGTAATACATTTTCGTAAGCCTCCTTAGAAAGTTATGTAATGACTTATGGTATACTAGGCCCCCAGCTAACAATACCATAAAGTTCGTGATTTACATCTGGGGATTTTGTTTACGGTAACTTCCACCTAAGACATAAACTGAGCTTACCTACAACACCGTCCACAAGCTTAAGGGTGTTCACACCTATATGTAAATATACTGTTTAAACATATTAGATGCACATCCTCGCCCAATTTACAGAACAGATCTGTTTATTTGGAGAAACTTTGCAATAAAATCGATTAAGACTGATGCATGGAATGAAATGAATGGTTACGTCTCTGTTTATGAGCTGACGCTATAAAACTTGATAATAATGTGGAACATTAGAATAATTAAAAGACTCGATAAAAACAAGTTAATTGTAAAAGAATCAATCGATATCCTTTAGTAGAGGTTTTTAGGTGAGTTTATAAGCACGCCAAAGTTGTTAATGAACAATCCGCATTGTAAAATTTGCACAAAGCTATTTTGATTTGACTGAAACAGCTGAAAATTATTCAACGGACACGGAAATGGAAATGGAAAGCGTATAGTTTACAAGTCTCCAATGGCAAATTATGATGCGTTACTTGTTGCTACCCTTTTTGATTCAATATGCGAGTATGTATAAAAGTTATCCAATTAAAAAATAGACATTGCTCTGGTAGAAGATTTCGTTTGTGTACATGTCGATAAATGAAATTTAAATTCCAATTACCTATATTATAGTCTTTGTTCTCAATTGCAGTGTAATAAAAAATCTAATTGTTTTACCGCACGAAGTTATGGAAGATTGGGACAATCACACATTAGAAGAAAAGCACTACTGAAAGCGAAAGCACCAAAGTTAGTGATTAAAAGTACAAAAGCAAGGTATACTGGACCATATTTAATTGAAAATCACATAAGGTTAAGAGTAAGAGCCAGTGACGATTTTTCGGTGGGCACGCATCTTTCCCACACAAGACAGTCCTTTACCTGGACGTCCATATTTGATCCATTTTAGGTTACGACGCGACGTCCATGCAGCAAAAGTGTACGTACAGTGGACGTCCGATTATTCTCTCTTATGGAATATTTAACGGATAGTCTATAAAATAATTACAATGTACGTCCGATGGACGTATGTTCCAATTATGGCGCGCACAAATTCGAATACAGATACGCTCGGCTGCGCAGTGCGACGACATTGGCATTTTGTTTTTTCAATAAGCCTAATATATGGACAATTTCCAAAAAAGCAATTTTTAAATGGCTCAAAAGGGCAAAGGAAAGCAAGTGAATTTTTCTTGTTATCTACTTATATTACTTTATATCCCGCTTTTTTAACAGTGTTTGATATCTATATCGCTTTCAAAGTAGCTGTTTTAATTGTTAATCTAGTTCAATAAAACGGCAGGTAACGAACGTCTATAGGACGTACAGTATGTACGTACAGTATGTACGTATATAAACTGTCCATATCGTTTGGATATCTGGACTACAATGGACGTCCAATGTACAATTTCTGTGTATACGCGTACGTACTATGTACAGACGGTCCATATATGTATTTACATAGTGGACTTTTAATGTACTTCGGTGGCTGTGTTGTGTGGGTTAAAGAGATTTCAAATTCATCCTCCATACACGGAGGGGGGGGGGGGGAATCGGGTTAAATCGTTTGGAGTGGTAATTAATATTAATTTTTAAACAGATGTTATCGCAGGTGCGCGATTTAGGTAAAAGCATTTGCGTATTTTAACTAATGAATAAGGAAGTGGAATAGATAATGGGAAGGTGGGAGGTGTTAAATAGAAGAGGAAATGTTGTAGCATGCATTTTTGCTTGTGGCCTTTGCTTTTGTCGCCGCCGCCACGCTATGACCGTTGGGTGCTGTCGGGCACATTTCTTTGAGCCGTGCCCCCGGCTTCTCGGTTTTTTGGTGCACTAAAGACAGTCACTTTGTGTAATTACATGTTTATTGAAGAAAGTTAGTGAATTAACGGTTTTTAAATACGCCGTGTTAAATTAAATAGGCCACTTCGAGTTAACGAGAAGTTTTGTGTCAAGTATTTGGAGGTAAGTGTTGTGTAGTAGTAAAAAAGTGAAGTTTCTGAAGCGAATTCAGTTTAGTGTTTTTGTTTGAACGCGTCTGTCTGATGGAAATCGCAGTGTATGGCTGGATAGATGGATTGGATAAAGATATTGACATTACAATATGTAATTCAGACTTTATTTAATCTGTATCGATCGAGTGCTTGTAGTGTGGTCTCTAATTTTTTAATTTTTCATTTGCCAATATGTCATATTATGAGATATTTACGCCTGAGGGCATAATAGATTATTATTATTAATTATGCCCTCAAACCACCCGTCAAATATATCGATGGAGTTATATTATGTAATAAAAAAATATGCTATATGAAGCATTTTAATGTTGGGAAAACAATAATCATTATATTTGCATATTGGATTTGTATTTGGAACAATGAAAAATAAAATTTTACGAGTATATGCAACTCAGGCATTACTCGATATTTAACCCTCGGGCGACTGACAATTAAATAACTATCTTACATCAATTACGTAGGTAATTGAGCGATAATTGCACACCTCATATGGGATTTATTACATATGAGAGAGATATTCGAATAAATTTCTCGCGCCAAACGGCAACTGATAATGTTATAATGTCATTACCGGAATAAACAGCCAATAATTGATTTGGAAAATTATTGACTAAGATAACAGCAAATGAATAATATCAAAATTTGGAATACCAGCCCCTTAAAGAGACCACCCTTCTTAACACTGAGCTACCCTAACAAAATTCAATTCTAACCCTACTAAAATTTAAAAAATCAACCATCAAAAGGGCATCATTACAGTATCCATCCTAGTATCCATTCTTGCTTTTATAAGCGAAAAATTAGATTAAAAAATAACCTAACCTAAA